CCTGGCCTTATATGCAGTTAACAAGTTTATCCAGGCAAAGGTAAATTGCCAACAGTGTGTAAGTACCAACAATACCTGTATACATGCCATTTAGGTGTGTAAAGAGAAACAGAATGTTGCCCTTAGTCTGTTAAGATTACTAATGATGCCAGGCATTAACAGGTCAAAGAACAGTGTCGTTTTTGTGATATGGGCACCTGTACCATAAACTGTGAATTGAAACCTGACCAACATTTCACATAGGCCACCCTACAGGTGTCAAATAATCATTGGTGGTTATATGTGAACTATTACATTCTATTAACAAAGTGCCAAGCTCCTTTGTTGCCAAAGGCTTCTGTGCATCAACAAAAGCATTAGAAAAAAATTTATCACATTAAAAAAAATCTCAACTAATAAACTAAAAAGAAACACAGTGGGTGCATCTACACAAGATAACAGAAGCACAGTAGAATTAATCTACTGCGTATTAGCATCACCTAAAAATGTGTGCCAGTGCCATGAATGATGCATGCCCCTGGAGGCTGGGGTGGCAGCAGTGGGGGCAGCGAGCTGGGAGCTCCTGCAGGTGACAACAGGGGTGTGACAAGCAGCGACCACCCAGAAGCGCTGCCGGCAGTGCTTCTTTCAGGGGGTGCACCGCCAATCTCAGGGGGTGCACATGCACCCACGTGCACTCCCTATGCATCACTAATGCAACAAGCTTTAGTTTAACGTCATCAATGGCCAGTGCTACTGCACAGTAGCGCTGATTACAGTGCACTAACTTAGTACCTGTTGTTACAGGTACTAAACTTAATGCGCAGTAATTACAGCGCATTAATGAACGTATAGACGTGCCCAGTGTGTTGCAAGAGGGACACGGAAAAGCAGCATCTGCCTCTTAGGCCTAGTTTTTGTGATAAATCATCTAAGAAATAGAAAAGCATCTGTCTCTTTTTAAAAGAGGAGGCATGACCTCAATCTTAGATGTCACTCTAATCAGTATCAAAACACACTGCTGAAATATGAGCACATTTATATATGATTGTATTTGTGATTAAATTATTCAGGATTCTACCAAGAACATAAAGGTACTCCAACTTTGGCTTGTATAAGCAGTGACATACTGCAGGTCTCTGGCACCCGGGGGCCAATGCTTGCATTTGTGCTCCCCCCCGCTCATCCTTCTCGTAGCAATACATTGCACAATAAGAACTCTGAAGCGCCCAGCCGGCATCCTTCCCCCACCCCCCATCAACCTGCCACTGTGTATAGCAACTGTAAATATTCCCACCTTCTGCTTCTTTTGTGGTCCTGATGGAGCAGCTTGTTAGAGATGCTAAGCCTTCTTTTCTGTTTACCCTGCTCATAAGTTTGCTCTTGACTGGTTGTGTTTGGAACCAGGGCATGGTTGAAAATGGCTGATATCTGTTACTTGCTTATTTTTTTTCTTCTCTTTGCTGTAAATAGGAAATATCTTTATCTATATGGAACCTGTTATGCAAGTGGCATTGTATTTTGTTTTACAGTACAGCACCTAATTTTGCTTTTCTCATTTAAATAACACCACAGAATAAGTCATTTCTATTTATAGGGAAAACTGTACATTAAATTCTCTTCCTGGGATCTGATTCTGCAAGTCTATCAAATGCTGAACTCCAAATAGCATATACACAGAACCTGAAAACTACACCCCAATTCATCCAAAAACTTAAGTGCATAGTACCCTCATCCCCATTCAGCAAAACATTTATGCACATGTTCAAGTGCTTTGCTGAATAGTGGTGAAAGGACACCATCCACCTTTGTTCCACAGATACCTCCAACTTTTGTCTCACAACATCTAAAAAGTAGGCACCTGGCCCTAGAAAGACGATTCAAAGCAGCAGGGTTAGGTTGCTTAGGGAATCAGCAGGCAGTTAGGCACTTCCAAAGGGCAACACAAAGGACACACATGTTAAGACTAGAGAATATAAGTCAATGATTCTCAGCCATTATAGACTCAGGGCACCTCCCAGAGAATGCCCACTCTTAGCTTTCACTCACTTTTCAACTACAGAAAAATAATAGAGCAATTCCACTGTCTCACTGTTAGAATACAGAGGCAGTAGAACAGACTGCCTAGGGAAGTTGTGGACTCTCCATCACTGCAGGTGTTCAAAAAGAGGTTGGCCAGCCACTGGTTAGGAATGATCTGGGTGTAGCTGTGCCTATGTTCTACTTATGGGTATTTCTCATGCTTCTGGGCTTTGATGGTTGCCCCAGCCCCCTTTTCTGCTATGTATGTCAGGGTGTTTTTAAGCCTTCCTCAGAGCCATTGGGTGTTAGCTCCAAGCCAAGGCTAGGGACTTTGCTGGAGTTCACATGAAGACAGGAGACCAGACAAACAGCATCCAAAAGAGGAAGATTGTGACAGACATTTGGGATGTGATAAGGAATTGAAGCAGCTGGTCTTGGCAGAGGGAATGCGCACCAGGGAGCACAGAGCAACAGGAACACAGGCTGATCCTTAACGAAAAGAAAAAAAACCAACCTTTTTTCTGTTTGGGAGGTGGGGGGCTTCCTAGTCACATAAGCCCAGTCCTGGAGCCAGAAGGGGCAGTCAGGCCCTGTGGGCTGCAGGGAGAGGAGCTTACTGCAGGAAGCAGAGCCCAAGGGAACAGAGGCTACCCATAAGGGTGAGAATAGGCCTAGCCCTGGGAGTTACAGTTTATGGGAGGTGAGCTTAGTGAAGGCAGTATGTGCATGTTTTAGTTGTGTTAATACATGTCTGTGTTTGCTGAACCACTGGTGGACTGGGGGTGGCTGTAAGAGGTGAAGAGGAAGCCACAGGGCTGTTGCAGGGGCACCCAACATCGCCCTGGGGCCAGCATGCCAGGGGGCACTGGACAGAGCCAGAGCAGCCTTGCCCTGGTCAGGGACCCCAGGGGGGCTGAGACTAGGTGTTAAGACATGGCCAAGGGGTCCGGAGACTAGATACCCAGCAAGGGCTGAGGCTGAGAAATCTGGGCCCAAAGCAGTGGGTCAAGGTTGGATGCCTGCAGCCAGAGAAAATAGGGACTAAAGCCAAAAGGTCTGTGGCCTCTTCACAAGGAACAGACTATAGACAAAGTAACATCTGCAAGGCATGGCTGTGCCTATAGGGGTGGAAGGAAGCTACAAATTTGGCCCTTATGCAGGCAAGGTGAGCACAGAAAGAGCAAGAGTGCACCCTGTGCCCACCACACACCAAAGGTAGCCTCCCATCATTACTTTTTAATACCAAGATGAAGCAGGTAATGAAGCAAGATGAGACCCTGGAAGGCTGGAGTGGGAACTGGGCAGGATCAGGGAAGCCACTAGGGAGCACTACAATGGACCTCAGGCACCATCCTGTCACACTCCTTTTACTTCCACTGGATCAAGGGCAGGCCCCTATCATTTCAGGTGATTACGCTACAACACAACAGGGACTGAATCACACTACAACATGCTTGGTCTTGCCTATGTAGAAATGATCAAACCATGGTACATGAAATTGAAATGAAGTGTAGGTCTTATAACACAACCAGAGCACAAGAGTATAATCATGTAATTCCAATTCAGGAAATTTCACTATACAGATGAGGTGTACCTTCTACAGCTCCTTGCACAGACACTTTCTTCAGTGGACAGCAGCATTGCTTTGTTCCCGCTTTGGAACTGAACGTGTCTTCCCAGGAAATTCTGGTTCCTTCTCCACAATGCACAGTTCAGATCTTGCAGCTGTCCTTAGCTTGCACTCCCCAGTCTCTCTATTCTCCCTGTTGTCTTCTGTCTCTCTCCTTGGCACAGGGGCCTCTTGGTGTACTGAAGAAGTGATGAGTCTAAAAATTTACACTCTCTTTTTACATGGCTTCTCGTAAAGATCACATGAGCAATAGTTAGATTCCAATAAAAAGTTGGTAAAAAAAGAGAACCCAACACCTGTGCTTGCAAAGCACATTACACTTTTTAGGGGCCAAGTTCACTGAAGATGAATTCACTTAAATGAAAACTGACTTTGTGCAAAACACGGAGAAGAAAGATTTGTTTTCTAAATTTAATTCTAAAAACCAGCCAGCAAGATAAAAAGCTATACAGCATCAAAATCTCCCTACAGTAATTTGGTCTCATCATTTCTCTATTCCAGAATCATTTGCACTTTTAGTCAAACTACTCCACAATGCTGCGCTACATGCTTTTTAAAAAATGTGCTGAGGGAGCTTAAGTAGACATTTGCACCCTATTGTTCAGATTCTGCTCTTATTCACAGCAGTGTAACCTGAACTGACTCTGCTGACTTCAATGATGCTTCTTAGGATCTGTCCTTCTGTAGCAAAAAAATCATGGTTTAGCCCTGCATCTATATACATAACATTTTCAAGTCATGAAACAGATATCAGAACATGCAACTCGCACATTCTACATGAAAAAAACATGGACTCTCCAGTCATCTACGTGATACATTAATGACTGAAATGCTGCAGGTACAGGCACTTGACATGTTTCAATTGCTATGAGCTAAATACTTTAAAATAGTCAGTAGAAAATGTCACAAAAGCCACCACTTGGTTCCAAGTCCTGTGGCTGTCTGAGGACAAGTGCGCCTCTCCCTCTTCACAGTAGGAGCAGCAGAAGATGGATTTTCAAGATCTTTTCACCACTTTGTACTATCAGAAACATCTCGCCATGCAGAAGCACATCCCTAGGGATGGTAGACTTGTTTCAGGCACAGGAGCCTGCTGCTCTGACGGTCACAGCCAGAGAGAGAATCCTTCACAGGCCAGGGGAGCCCTGAAGGCAAATCCCAGTGCAGGGCAGCACTGGGCCGACTCGCACTGCACGAGCATCACAATCTGCGCTCCCAGAAAGAAAGACAGTCAAGGCCACCAGGGCGCATGCGCAGCGTGTGGAAGGCCCGCGGGCTGGAGGTAATTCCTCCGGGAGGGAGGGGCGGGGGGGGGCGGGACAGCGGATCCCCCATCAGGCAAGCCGCAAGGGGAGCCACGTGACTAAAGAACGTCAGTGCATTGGCGCCTACGCAGTACAGCGAGCGCGGCCCGACGGTTCAAGGTCAATCACAGGGCGGAACCCGTTCGGCTGAGAACGCATGCGCACTGAGAGGCGGATGCGCCTGCGCATTCCGTGCCCCTGAAGGCCGGCACCTCCCCCCGGTTACTTCTGGTTCCGGTGCGGCTGCTCTCGGTGCGCTGCGGCCGAGCAAGATGGCGGTGCTCGCAAGGCTTTCCCGGCTGCTGCTTGCCCGCGCCCCGCTCGGGCGGCGCACGCT